GCACAGAATCACAGAACGGTTTGGGTTGGAAAGGACCTTAAAAGCCATCTTGTTCCAACTCCCCTGCCATCTAGACCAGGTTGCTCAAAGCCCCATCCATCCTGGCCTTGAACACTTCCAGGGATGGGGCATCCACAGCTTCTCTGGGCAACCTGTCCCAGTGCCTCCCCACCCTCTCCAGTAAGCATTTCTTCCATACATCCAGTCTAAATCTCCCCTCTTCCCATTTAAAGCCATTTCCCCTTGTCCTACCACTACGGGCCTTGAAAATAGTCCCATATTTTCCAGGGAAGGAATAAGCAGCTGCAGCACTGTTGCTGCTCTGGTGCTCAGGGGGGTGGTCAGGCAGCCCCTTCTCTCAGGCAGCAGTCTGCCCACCGCTGGGAGCCTTGTTCTGCCTGGGCTGGTGCTGGTGCCGGGCGAGGACGGGCAGTGCCAGGTTGGCTTCAGGAGCCCTTGGGCTGTGGCTAGGCATTGCCCATCCCTGCGCACACTGTGGCCGCCTCGCTTTTGGGTAAACTTGCAGAGTCCTACAGGAGGTGGTTTGCTCTCTGTAACTTATTTAAATTCTCTTCTGGTTAGTAAAGCAGAAGCGTTTGCCGTTCCCGGTCTGTGGGTTGGCTAGGCAACCTGGTGCTCAGCAGACTCAGGAGAGGGGCAGTGTAGGGAGGGAAGTAATGAAAACAAACCCCCAGCAACCTAAAACAGTGGGATGCAGTTGTTTTTATCAAAACAGAAAGATCTTTGCACGGTCTGTCAGGAGACGGGAGGCTGTTTAATGAACGCTGTAGCTGGCGAGGTGCGATGGGAGCAGACCAGACCAGCACAGCGTGGGGAGGAACAGAGCCCGAGGCCGACAGCCCAAGTACTGCATCTCAGTGGGCACCTCTGGTGCCCAGCAGGCAAACCTCACTCCATCCCCTGCCCCGCAGGGCAGGCAGCAGGCATCACCTGGCTGCTGGCACTGCTGCATGGTCCTCAGTGGGTCCACAGTAAGGGTGGACGTTATCCCCTCTTCCCCATTTGCCATTAGTGATGCACATCTGGCACGAGCAGTGTCTTAACTAAGCATAAGCAGCCCTGTGTCGTGTCAGTTAAGGTTTTGCTTTCCTGTGACAGCTGCTGGTGGGAGGAAGGGGAACTTGCACCTGTAATAGAGGTAGCCACAGCCTGCTAATACTGGCAATAGATTAATGTTGGTTAATAGGTAATTATTAACCTTGCATCCTGCACTGAACATTACCTGTGTACCAGGAGTGATTAATATGCAGCAAGGTGTTGCTGCACTACTTCCAGCGAGGTTTCAGTGATACCCTAGGAAGAAGACTGAACCAGGTATTCACAGGGGTTGGAAGGGACCTCTAGGG